TGTGGTCTATCCAATGCAAGTATAATAATAATAATAATCTTTATTTGTACCCCGCTACCATCTCCCCAAGGGACTCGGTGTGGCTTACATGATCTTTTGATCCCTATGTTGGAGAGTCAAAAAAAGGTTGGGAACCACTGACATAGAAAGATAAAATGGGAAGAAACCTTGAAAGATACCATAAATACAAAGCTATCTTGTGTTGAGTAAGTCTATTGGCCCCATCTAGTTTTTCACTCTGCGCTCTGGTTGCCAGCAATAACTTTTCAGAGTTTCAGGATAAATTCTTTCATAGCTATATGGCAATTCCAGATATTACCTAATGGCCTCTCATTAAAATATCAAATCAACTCTGCTTGGCTTCCAAAAGTTAAAAAGAACTGGTAGAGTGATAACTATATATTTTGAGTCAACTGGCTGTGTCCAAATCCAAAGCCAATTTGTGGTAATTACACTCTGGAATGGGCCCTAAGCCTCTCCCATCCAAATTCATGAACCAAGAGGCTGATAACTCAGCTCTCTAAATAGACTGAAAGGAGCTCCCAGTGGCACAATGGGTTAAAAACCTTGTGCCGGCAGGACTGATGACTGAAAAATCGGCGGGGTGCGGGGTGAGCTTCTGTCTGTCAGCTCCAGCTTCTCATGCGGGGACATGAGAGAAGCTTCCCACAGGATGATAAAACATCCAGGCATTCCCTGGGCAATGTCCTTGCAGGAGGCCAACTCTCTCACACCAGAAGACACAACACACACACATACACAGACAAAAATAGACTGAAAGGATGTTGGGGAGAGCTCCAGCCTCAGCAGCCCCAGCCAGACAAAGTCCCATTCAACCTCCCCTAACCTGTCCACTCCCATATAAGCATCAATATATAAGCAACGTAAGTTCCTACTGCCTAATAAAAAATCCCATCAGATAAAACAGGCTGACAAATCAATTCATTGATCAAAGTACAAATATAACTTATGCCATCAAAAGAATGAAACATATAGTAGACAAGAGCCATGTCCACCTCTTGTCTAATGATACCCATCATTAAGAGTATTCCATCATGTGCCTGCAAGTTGCCTGTTGACTTACGGTGGTCTAATTAATTTCAGTTTTCTCAGGCAAGGAATTACCCAGAGGTGTTTTCTATTGCTGTTGTTTTCTATAGAACCTGGCATTTCTTGGTGATCTCCCATCCAAGAATTGAGTCTGTTTATATAATTAGACAGGATCTGGAGTCCTTAGGTTACTCATTTATTTATTTCGTATATTTCTATCCCGCCCTTCTCCCCACAAGGGAGACGCAGAGCAGCCTCACATAAGCATCAGAAGATGCTAACAACATAAATACCATAAAAATTACAATTCACAATAAAATCATTTTAAAACATTGTGCAACATCATCAGTAAATTTAACAATAAATTAATGTGCCAGTAAAACCAAACCAAGCCGGCTGAATCCAAGTTGTTGCAAAACCCAAAATTCCTTTTCCTATTGCTGCTGGCCTCTAATCAAATGAGATTATTTCAAAAAATAGAAATTGCTAGAAATAATATCATACGAAAATAGAGATTATTTCAAAAAATAGAAATTGCTAGAAATAATATCATACGAAAGCTGGCCGGCACAATCTGGGGATCACAACCAGACACAGTGAAGACATCTGCCCTTGTGTTTTGCTACTCTGCTGCTGAATACGCAGGCCCAGTGTGGAATACATCTCACCATGTTAAAATAGTGGATGTGGCTCTTAATGAGACATGCCACATTATCACAGGATGTCTATGACTCACACCACTGCAGAAATTATACTATTTAGCTGGTATTGCACCGGTGGTGCAGTGGGTTAAACCCCTGTGCCGGCAGGACTGAAGACCGACAGGTCGCAGGTTCGAATCCGGGGAGAGGCGGATGAGCTCCCTCTATCAGCTCCAGCTCCTCATGCGGGGACATGAGAGAAGCCTCCCACAAGGATGATAAAACATCAAATCATCCGGGTGTCCCCTGGGCAACGTCCTTGCAGACGGCCAATTCTCTCACACCAGAAGCGACTTGCAGTTTCTCAAGTCGCTCCTGACACGACAAAAAAAAAACATTTATGAACTATTGTGGTAACTCTATGAACGACCAAGGCACTAACATCTCCAGCCCATCCTTTGTTTGAATATCAGCCAGTATGCCAACGCCTTAAAAAAGGAAACAGCTTCCTAAGATCTACACAGATACTCGTAGGAAAACCTCAGCAAGCGAGAGTCCAAGGTACTGAAGGTGCTGAAGAGACTTCACTCTGGCACTACAAGATGAAGAGCCAAGCTTAAGAAATGGGGCCAAAAGTGGAGTCCACACATGCGAGTGTGGAGAAGAGGAGAAGAAACCACTTACTACAGTGCTGTCTGAGCCCTCCCACATACACAATGGAGGACCTTCTCACAGCGACACCAGATGCACTCCAAGTGGCCAGCTTCTGGTCAAAGGACATTTTGCATGATGTTAAGTTTTTAACTTTGTTTGTGTTTTTAATATAACAGGGTGAAGGGGGGGGGGCAGAAGACAGTTCCATCTTGTCTTCTGTGCTTTATTTACAATATAATATAATATAATATAATAATATCTATATATATAAAAATGTTCTGTGCATAACGAGTACCTTAAAAACAAAAGAACCAATGAACGAAATCACACCAAATTTGGCAACAAAACATCTCAAAACACAAGGAGTGACCATCATTCAAAAAATTATGATTTTGTCATTTGGGAGTTGTAGTTGCTGGGATTTATAGTTTACCTACAATCAAAGAGCATTCTGAACTCCATCAACGATGGAATTGAACCAAACTTGGCACACAGAACCCCCATGAGCAACAGAAAATATTGGGTTTAGTGGGCATTGATCTTGAGTTTGGGAGCTGTAGTTCACCTACATCCAGAGAGCACTGTGGACTCAAACAATGATGGATCTGCACCAAACTTGGCACAAGCAGTCAATACGCCCAAATATGAACACAGATGGAGTTTGGGGGAAATAGACCTTGACATTTGGGAGTTGTAGTCACTGGGTTTCACAGTTCACCTACAATAAAATAGCATTCTGAACCCCAGGAACAACAGAATCGGGGTAAACTCCCCACACAGAACCCCCATGACCAACAGAAAATACTTAAGGCAATCCAGTCCGACTCCCTTCATCAGGGCAAGAAAACCCAATCAAAGCCCTCTTGACAAAGAGCCATCCAGCCATAGATATAGACAGATAGATAGATATGATTCACACACAGAGAGAAATAGTATCATAGATTTGAAAGGGACCCTTAAAGAAGGACAATGATATGTTGCATGTTCCAGAGTAGAAAAACCAGACATTCTCCACATCAACACTGACAAAGAAACAGCAAGAAATACTGTTTACCCGCATGCAAATTACATATATTAGAAACCAACACTTTCTCATTATTTTATTTTCCAGATCAAAAGACTGGGTGACAGCAACACGTGGCAGGGGACAGCTAGTTGTATATACATATAATATTTATAAAATCATAATACAATAGAAAATAATACTAATAATAATACAATATTATAATTATATATTATTTTATATTACATGTAATATTACTAATAATATTACAACATAATGATGTAGTACAATATAGTAATATATAATACTGATATTGTACTATGCTAATAATTTAATTTAATATATTGTATGCATATATATCTTGTAAGCTGCTCTGAGTCTCCTTCGGGGCGAGAAGGGCGACATATAAATGTTATAAATAAATAAATAAATACATTATAACTGTACCCAATTCACTTGACACAATAAATAAATAAATACATTTCAAAAAAGTTGGAAAGATTGTCCTGAAGTTTAAGTCCAGGCAGTGGGAGCTTTTAGCTACACATATTCATGTATCTCTTCATACCATTCTTTGGCCTTCGGCACTTCCGAGCACTGGACATAACCCACAGGATACTCTTTGAATGAATATGGCTGCTGAGCTGAAAAATCCTTTGTACTAGAGCTTTCCAATGGCCTAATACAATTTTTTTTCTTCAAACAACACAATACAAATGGAGACAATACCTGATAAACCTCCAGCCCAACAAAGTCTGTGAGTTGTGGGTGTAAGAAAAATGACACTTGTTAAACTGCTGGAAATTACCTGTCAAACTCTATCTGCTTCAAAACTGGTATGGATTACCCTCAAACAGACTCCCTTTGTATGACAAGGTTTCAGAGTAATTCCTCAAACAGTCTTTTAACTATATACTGTTGGAAATAGCAACCTTCTTCAAGCCTCCAATAGTTATTTGTTTTGTATATGATACTGTTTGCTTACTGTATTGTATATGTATGTTTTGATATGCAGCTGTCCCTTTACTCTATGTTTCTTGAGGTTGTGGGAGGCGCTGCAGACTACATGATCATATCTGAGACTGCTCAGAGCTCACATTTTATTTATTTATTTATTTATTTATTTACAACATTTATATCCCGCCCTTCTCACTCCAAAGAGGACTCAAAGCGGCCTAAAAGTTATATGTACATACAATATAGTATATTATTAGCATAGCACAATATTAGTATTATATATTGCTATATTGTACTATACCACTATATTGCAATATTACTAATAATATTACATGTAATGTAAAATATATAATCATTTCATTATTATATTGTATTGTTATTAGTATTATATTGTTTCACAATATTATGACCAATATTATATGTACATACAATATATTATAATTAGTAGCATAGCACAATTATAATATAATTCTAGAGGACAGTCGCCATTAGACTTTGGACTGTTAAGAGCAAACTCACGTTGCTGTTGATTGTAAGGAAGGTGCCCTGTGTTACCTGCACAGAGAAACCACTTCAAATCCATCTGTAACTCGATTGACAAGTTATGTACCTGTATGCTGATTACATAAAGGTTGTGAGTAAACCAGATATGTTACTTTTAATGAAGTCGATTTACCTATCTGTAAAACTCTTACCAGAAGCAGTTTGAAGAGTCACCCCAGCAGGTATCTGAATAGGATAGGCAAGGCCTGAAGGCAAAGTAAGAAATGCACTGCTGGTCCTGGAAGAGCCCTAGAAAAAAAAAGGAGGGGAAAAAATAACTCCACTTGCATGCACATAATTATTTTTAGTTTTCATAAAGCAGTCCAAGTCCTGCAACATTAAAACTGGGATTCTGCAGAACACACACATATAAAGTGATAATAACATGCAAAGAGATTTTGTAGCACATTAGCAACTAACTGAGGATGAATCTACAGCAGGCATGGACAAACTTTGTCCCTCCAGGTGGTTTGGACTTCAACTCCCACCATTCCTAACAGCCTCAGGCCCCAACAATCTTTGGCAGAGGAGGCGAAAGACCTTGTAAAACTATAACTCCCAGAACCCCATAGTACTGAACCATGGCAGTTAAAAAGGTATCAAACCACATTACGTAGAGATGCACCCCAAGAGGACAAAGATGGTAGCATAAGCTTTTGCAGACATAGTTTTACAATACTCTGAGATTTAAGCGTTTTCACTTTCACAAATGTTTTCACAAGAACCAGTTCAACTGAGAGTGATGAATTTCGCTTCCCAGTCCCTTACAAACTCAATGCTACTGTTTTTGGCCACTACCCAATGGATGCATTCACTTCATGAAGATTTAAGTTGAATTCCATAACCATATGGCATGGAAATATGGCACATATTTTGGATGATACAAAACTATTGACCAATGCCGGGCCAGGCTTTAGAACAGCTTGTAAATCAACAGCAATAAGATCTATTTATTTATTTATTATTTATTACTGCGCTTGTATACCGCTGTTTCTCAGCCTACATTGGCGACTCAACGCGGTTTACAACACTACAAAAATCAACAATATACAAGATAAAAGCATAAAAACACATACATAATATACAATATTGGGCCACCAATATCGAGCCAATGCATCTCTTAACTAAAAACGCCGTCCAATTTCATCGTCTGTGGTTACCAGTCCTTGATCATCAGATTCGTTGCACCGAGTTAACCGAATGCTTGTTCGAACATCCATGTCTTCAGTTTTTTTCGAAACACCATCAGCGAGGGGGCTGATCTTACCTCTATGGGGAGGGCATTCCAAAGCCGAGGGGCCACCACAGAAAAGGCCCTGTCTCTCGTCCCCGCCAGCCGCACCTGTGAAGCAGGCGGGATAGAGAGCAGGGCCTCCCCAGAAGATCTTAGGGTCCTGGTGGGCTGATAGGCTGAGATACGTTCGGATAGATAAGTTGGGCCAGAACCGTTTCGGGCTTTAAAGGCCAACGCCAGCACTTTGAATTGAGCCCGGTAGCAGATCGGCAGCCAGTGGAGCTGGTACAGCAGAGGAGTTGTATGCTCCCTGCGCCCCGCTCCTGTTAGTATCATGGCTGCCGCCCGTTGGACTAATTGGAGCTTCCGAGCCGTCTTCAAAGGCAACCCCACGTAGAGAGCGTTGCAGTAGTCAAGACGGGATGTAACAAGAGCGTGGACTACCGTGGCCAAGTCAGACTTCCCAAGGTACGGTCGCAGTTGGCGCACAAGTTTTAATTGTGCAAATGCTCCCCTGGTCACCGCCGAAACCTGGGGTTCCAGGCTCAGCGATGAGTCCAGGATCACACCCAAACTGCGAACCTGCGTCTTCAGGGGGAGTGCGACCCCATCCAACACAGGCTGTAACCCTATACCCTGTTCGGCCTTGCGACTAACCAGGAGTACCTCTGTCTTGTCTGGATTCAATTTCAATTTGTTCGCCCCCATCCAGACCGTCACAGCGGCCAAGCACCGGTTCAGGACCTCGACAGCCTCCTTAGTAGCAGGTGGAAAGGAGTGACAGAGTTGGACATCATCTGCGTACAGATGACATCGTACCCCGAAACTCCGGATGATCTCTCCCAGCGGCTTCATGTAGATGTTAAACAACATGGGAGACAATATTGAACCCTGAGGAACCCCACAAGACAATGGTTGTGGGGTTGAACAGGAGTCTCCCAGTAACACCTTCTGAGACCGACCCTCGAGGAATGAGCGGAGCCACTGCAAAACAGTACCTCCAAGACCCATCCCGCGAGGCGTCCCAGAAGGATACCGTGGTCGACGGTATCGAAGGCCGCTGAGAGGTCGAGCAGCACCAACAGGGACACACTCCCCCTGTCGAGCTCCCGACGCAGATCATCCACTAAGGCGACCAAGGCTGTCTCGGTACCATGCCCCGGCCTAAAGCCAGACTGTGCCGGATCCAGATAATCCGTGTCTACCAAGAATGCCTGGAGTTTTGAGGCCACCACACGTTCCATGACTTTGCCCAAAAAGGGGAGATTGGAAACAGGCCGATAGTTGACGAATTGAGTGGGGTCCAGTGATGGTTTCTTCAACAGCGTTTTATTATAGCTTGTTTTAAGCTTGCTGGAATATTGCCTTCCCAGAGGGAGGCTTTAACCATCACCTTCACCCACTAGGCCAATCCCCCTCTGGCCTTTTTTAGAAGCCACGATGGGCAGGGGTCTAGGATGCATGTGGTCGGCCTCTCTCCTCCAAGTATCTTGTCCACATCCTCGGACTGAACCAATTGAAATGAATCCATCAAAATTGGACAAGCAGATGCTCGTGTTACATCCTCAGAGACTGCCGTTAATATGGTATCCAGTCCAGAGCGGATCAAAGCGACTTTGTCTGCAAAGAACCGAGCAAAAGCTTCACAGCGAGCTGCTGAGTCATCAGGGCACCCATCCTGAGTGGTGGGTTTTAATAGGCCTCTGACAACTCGGAACAGTTCAGCCGGACGGTTCTTTGCAGACGCAATAGTGGCCGCAAAGAAAGTCTTCTTTGCGGCTTTTATTGCCGCGGCATATGCCCTTAAAAAGGACACAAACCGTGTTCGATTTGGCTCGCTCGGATCCGAACGCCACACGCTCTCTAGTTCCCTCTTCTTCGCTTCAACGCTGCCAGCTCCTCGGTGAACCAAGGAGCTGGTTTAGCTCGGCTACTTGAGAGGGGACGTTCTGGGAGCGATCGTGTCTATTGCCCTAGTCATCTCCCCATTCCAGAGAGCGACCAGAGCATCAACAGGATCACCAACCGAAGGTGGCGGGAAATTCCCCAAGAGCCGTCAGGAATCCATCCGGATCCATAAGCCTCCTGGGGCGGACCAGCTTAATGGGTCCTCCACCTCTGCGGAGGTTAGGAGGAGCAGTGAGTCTAAAGCTGACCAGATGATCTACCAACCGAAAGGTAGCCAGTTTGAATCACCGGGTCGGCATGAGCTCCTAACTGTCAGCCCAGCTTACTGTTTACCTAAGCAGTTTGAAAACAGCTTGAGCTGTAAGCAGAGAAATTAGGTATCCCTAAACAAGCAGGGGAGGTATTTTACGACACCATAATGAAAATGATCAGAAAATACCCAGTGACCAAATGGAAGAACTCCTGATGGATCTTCGTCATGGAGGATGGAGCGAAAGTTCCCCCCATGGCTGGATTTCAGTACAACCTCCAAGGCATCAAAAAAAAACCCTGGACGTTGACACAACATACCTCCTTTCTGTTCTGTCCCATCTACGCAAAACAGCATTGAATGTTTGCCGTGTACGTGTACTGTGATCCACCCTGAGTCCCCTTGGGGAGATAGGGCAGAATATAAATAAAGTATTATTATTATTATTATTAATGGTTCAATAATAACAATATACTTTATTTATATTCCACTTTATCTTGCTAGAGGGATTCAGAGGAGATTACAATACAAATTTGAGGCAAACATTCAATGCCTTTTATACACAGACATGCAACACAGACAAAGGTAAAGGCCTTTCCCTTTTTCCAACTCCGGCATCTGGAGGTGATGCTCAACTCCGGCCATGGGGTGGTTCTCTTGCTCCATTTTTCCATGCCGAGGAGCCTGTCTGCATATTTGCTTGGGGCGCCCTTTTACCTTCCTGCCAAGGCAGTACCTATTGATCTACTAACATCGCATGCTTTCGAACTGCTAGGTTGGCAGAAGCTAGAGCTGACAGTCAGGAGCTCACCCTGACTTGTGGCTTTGAACTGCCAACCTTCTGGTCAGCAGATTCCCAACAGCTAGTGGTTTAACCCGCTGTTCTACCATGGGCCCTTGATTCATTGAGGTTGCCGAAACAATCTCCCTGAAACAATGAACAGGCATATTAAGAGATATATAGAATGCTGGTATTCTGCAAAAAGGGTGATGCAATTGTATGAGTGTAATATTATGCCAGTAGCACAATGTAGGATCTAAGATTGCAACCCAGGGAAAGCAATGGCTCTCCCAACTCCAAATCAACACATAACTGTTCGAAACTGATGACCCGTTGCTATAATTTTTGGGTTTACTATCACGAATATTGGCTTTTCAATTGTAATTGGTGTTTTGCCAAGGTATTTTTTTTATTGTTGACGACTATTGAGCAAATGACATTTCATTTTTAAGGAGCTTTTAGATTTTTGCCGTGCATAAAAGACGCAAAATGGCACGACGAGATCAAAGCTACCCACTCGCTCTGCTGCAGGCTCCACAGCTGCTCCTGCCCCTGTTGTCGCTGCCGCCGAAGTAGCAAACTGCCGAATCCCTCGAACAGCCGCAACACCTGAAGGGATGGCATCGAAAGAGAAGGTCAAGGGGAAAACTTTTGAGAATTTTTAGATTTTCTTAGGCACAGGTTCTGCTATTATACAAATGCATGAATGCTTGGCACAAACATCAATAAGCAAGATGGGTTTGTGCCATAGGCATGTGCTTTGCATTAAATAAGGGCGACCCAAGGAAAAATTCCAGCATTATTTAATATTCATCGAGCTAGAAAGGCTGGGGTTGCCAATTCAGGACTGCCTCGGGCCCTGAGGTTTTCAGACCAAAACCTGAAACCTAGGGACGGCCCCAGGTTTTGTCGTTAAACATCTTTGATGAAGTGACAACAACAATTGCTTATAGCTTTCTCATTCAAACACACAAATGCAAAATATATTTTCCTGTTTGCAAATGAAGACAGAAATCTCAGCTTAAGAGCATGTTCTTGGATAGGGAAAAAGGGAATATCCTTTCTTTTCAGTTACTTAAGATCACAATTTATTCATTCATATATAGAATGAATAGATTAGGAGCCCCCGATGGCACAGCAGGTCAAACCGCTGAGCTGCTGAACTTGCTGACTGAAAAGTCGATGGTTCAAATCCAGAGAGCGGGGTGAGCTCCCACTGTTAGGCCCAGATTCTGCCAACCTAGCAATTTGAAAACATGTAAATATGAGCAGATCAATAGGTACCGCTTCTGCGGGAAGGTAACGGTGCTCCATGCAGTCATGCTGGCCACATGACCTTGGAGGCATCTACGGACAACGCCGGCTCTGCGGCTTGGAAATGGAGATGAGCACCATACGCCAGAGGCGGCCATGACAAGACTTAATGTCAAGGGGAAAACTTCACGTTTACCCATATAGAAAAGTCAAAGCATTATGTATTTACGTTTTTCTGTTTGCACCACAATGGTTGTTACTAGGTGAAGTGGCCCTCTGTGATGTCACTGGGAAAGGAAGGTGACATGTGTATCAGAGGGAGGGAGGGGAGAAAGGAAAAAAGGAGGAAAGGAAAAGAAAGGAGGGAGGATGTAAGAAAAAAAGCGAGAGGAAAAAGGAAAAGGATGAGAAAAGGGAAGGGAAAGGGGAAGAGAAAGTGAAGGGGAAGAGAAGGGAAAGTGGAGGGAAAAGGAAGAGGAAAGGAAAGGGGGAAAGAAGAATGGGAAAGGAGAAAGGGGAAAGGGAGAAGGGAGGCTGAAAAAGCCCCCCTCAGCTTATACTCGAGTCAAGGTTATTTATTATTTTACTCTGTTGTTGTTGTTGTTGTTGTTACTAGCTTGGGGCTCCGGCACTGCCCAGGTTATTAGAGAAAGGCATTGTGTGGTAAAGGTATTCTTTATCAATTTTCAGTTATTGAAGGTACTGTGAATCCCATCGTGAATGGTCCATCCTCCTCCAAACAGCACCTGGATGTAGAGTGGGTCATGGGGGCTCTGTGTGCCAAGTTTGGTCTTCATCAGTCATTGGATGAGGGTCGTAGTGGTCTCAGAAAGTGAGTGAAGGTACTGCAAGTCCCGTCATCTCCACCCTCCTCCAAACAGCACCAGGATGTAGAGTGGGTCATGGGGGCTCTGTGTGCCAAGTTTGGTCTTGATCGGTCATTAGATGAGGGTTGCAGCAGTCTTGGGAAGGAAGTGGAGGTACTTGAAGTCCCATCATCCACGGTCTGTCCTCCTCCAAACTGCACCAGGATGTAGAATGGGTCATGTTTGGTCTTGATCAGTCATTGGCAAGGGTCTCAGTGGTCTCAGGAAGTGAGTGAAGTTACTGCAAGTCCCATCATCCATCTCCAAATTCTTCCATACTGCACCAGGATGTAGAGGGGAAGAGAAGGGAAAGTGGAGGGGAAAGGAAGAGGAAAGGAAGGGAGAACGGAAAGGTAAGGGGAAAAGAGGAATGGGAAAGAATAAAGGGGAAAGAGAGGCTGAAAAAGCCCCCCCTCGACGTACACTCGAGTCAAGGTTATTTATTATTTTACTCTGTTGTTGTTGTTGTTATTATTATTACATTTATTATTTTATTGAATTATTATTATTATTATTATTACATTTACATTATTTTACTCTATTATTCTTTTTATTACATTTATTATTTTGCTCTATTCTTATTAATATTACCTTAATTATTTTACTATATTATTACTGTTATTATTACCGTTCCATTGTTTTACTCTATTTATTATTCTTTTTATTACATTTATTACTTTCTCTATTTATTATTATTCGAGGGATAGGTAGGCACATTTACATTGAAGAAGATTAGAATAATGGGTTTAATCAGAGTTGGGCAGTCTTATCTTAAATTACAGTTTTATGTAACTATTCAAAAACATTTAATCTACTGACACTTCAATTAATGTAATTTTACTGGTATCTTTTTATTTTGAAATTTACCAGTAGCTGCTGCATTTCCCACCCTTGGCTTATACTCGAGCCAGTTTTTGTGGTAAAATTGTGCTTCGGCTTATATTCAGGTCGGCTTATACTCGAGTATATACAGTAATAGTTGATTGGTCGAAATTTTGTATGAAATGGGGGACAGCAAATGTAAGCTCTGTCTCTGAGCTGAGGCCACTCCCCTTAGTACAACATCCCAAAATAGGAACCAATCACCAACCTGTTGGCGTCTGGTGGAAATTGTGGGGCAGGTGCAAGGTGAACTGGGGCACAACGTGCCTGCTGTGCCGGAAGAAGCCTTCCATCGCTTTCGACTGCATCAGTTTACTTTCCCAGCGCTGCAAGAAAAAGGACAAAGTACATGAAATAAAAAGATTAGAATCCGTTGTAGAGAATCTGCTGTAAACGAGATGAATATCCTTCTCTCCAATGATACAGGGCATCCCAAAAGTTGCCATACACAGGGGAAATGGGAAGCTGTCGCTAAATTTATTTAGAAACCATTCATTACAGATGCCTACAAAACATTCTCTGACCTCACAACCTCTGAGGATGCCTGTCAAATATGTGGGCGAAATGTCAGGAGAGAATGCTTCTGGAACATGGCCATACAGCCCAAAAAACTCACAACAACCCAGTGATTCCGGCCATGAAAGCCTTCGACAATACATTCTCTGCATGGGTTACTGTGAGTACTGTGGCTGTATGGCCATGTTCCAGAAGCATTCTCTCCAGACGTTTCGCCCACATCTGTGGCAGGCATCCTCAGAGGTTGTTAGGTCTATTGGAAACTAGGCAAGTGAGGTTTATATATTTGTGGAATTACCAGGGTAGGAGAAAGAACTCATGTCTGCTTGAGGCAAGAGTGAATTTTGCAATTGATCACCTTGATTGGCATTGAATAGCCATGCAGCTTCAAGGTTTGACTGCTTCCTGCCTGGGAGAATCCTTTGTTCTTTGCATATTGGCCATCTCTTTCTACACACACACACAGTTCTCTCCCACTCATGGCAAGCATGTCTCAAGACATCTGTTGTCATACAACTAATTGTTCATTTTTCGTGCACATGGAGACGTTTGGGACACTCTGATAAGGTTGTTGTTAGAGTGGCCCATCATTTCTGTGTTCTCAAATAATATGCTGTGTCCAGGTTGGTTCATCAGGTGCTCTGCCATGGCTGACTTCGCTGGTTGAAGTAGTCTGCAGTGCCTTTCATGTTTCTCAATTCATGTTTCTGCACTGCGTTTGGTGGTCCCTATGTAGACTTGTCCACAGCTGAATTCCACAGATATATAAACCCCACTTGTTTGGTTTCCAACAGACCTCACAACCTCTAAAGATGCCTACCATAGATGTGGACAAAACATCAGAAGAGAATGTTTCTGGAACATGGCCATACAGCCAAAAAACTCACAGCAACCCAGTATTTTTAGATTCTGGAATACTTTTAATGCCATATACATACACAATGAGATACCTTGGAGAGGGGACCCAAGTCTAAATATAAAATTCACTGATGTTTCACATATAACTAACACACATAACCTAAAGGTAATTTTATACACAGAATCTATATAAGTACTAGCTGTGCCCTGCCACGCGTTGCTGTGGCCTATAGTAAAACTTATCAAAGTTGAGGTAGATATCTGGACTATTATGAAAGAGAGGTACCTACCTATTCCTTCCCCTTTTCCTCCCCCTTTCTCTCCTTTCTTCCTTCTCTACCTCTTTCTTTCTTTCCTTCTTTCACTACTTGGTTTCATCCTTCTCTCTTTCCTTCATTCCCTCCCCCTTTCTTCCTTTGCCTTTCTTCCCTCCCTGTTTGCTTCCTTCTTTCACTTTTTATTTCCTTTTATTTCACCACCATCATAACAATAACAATAATGCAATGCATTGCCTCTGGGACCTGACACCTCTCCCATTCCCCCAGGGTCTCAGAGGAATAATAGCATAGTAATAATAGAAATAACAACCTTTACCCGCCACGCATTGCTGTGGCCATCCTTCCCTCTTTCTCCCCTTCTTTCCCTCCTTCCTTCCTTCCCTCCCATCTTTCCTTCTCCTCTTCCTTCTCTATCTCTTTCCTTCCCCCTTTTTCTTTCTCTTCTGGTCTTTTCCTTCCTTCCTTCATTCGTTCCCTTCCTCTCCTCCTCCCCTTCTCCCCTTCCCTCTCTCTTTTCTTCCTTCCTTCTCTTTCTTTCCTTCTCTCCTTCCTTACTTCCTTCTCTACCTCTTTCTTTCCTTCCTTACTTCCTTTGCTCTTTGGTTCTTCCCTTCCTCCCTTCCTTCTTTCCTTCCTTCCTTCCTTCTCTCTTTTCTTCCTTCCGTCTATTTTTTCTTTTTCCTTTTTTTCCTTTTCTTCTTCCTCTAACTTTCCTTCCTTCCCCCTTTTTCTTTACCTCCCTTTCTCTTTCTTCCTTCTTTCCTTCCTTCCCTTTCCTGGATTTTGACAGGGCGGGAAGGGGCGGGGTGGGGTTTGGAGGTGGCGTGAAGTAAAAGGAGGTAAGATTGGGGCAGGGGAGTGATGGAGCGTGGGGTTGTGTGTGTGTGTGCGGCGGCGGGGGGGGAGTGATGGAGCGTGGGGTGCGTGTGTGTGTGCGGGCGGGGGGGGGGGGGGTTGCATGTGTGTGCGGCGGCGGGGGGAGTGATGGAGCGTGAGGTTGCGTGTGTGTGTGTGGCGGGGGGGGAGGATGGAGTGGGGTTGCGTGTGTGTGTGGGCGGGGGGAGTGATGGAGCGTGGGGTTGCATGTGTGTGTGCAGCGGCAGGGGGAGTGGGGTGGCGGGTGTGTGTGTGGCGGTGGGGGGAGTGATGGAGCGTGGGGTTGCGTGTGTGTGCGGCGGGGGGAGTGATGGAGCGTGGGGTTGCGTGTGTGTGTGCAGCGGCAGGGGGAGTGATGGAGCGTGGGGTTGCGTGTGTGTGTGCGGCGGCGGGGGGAGTGGGGTTGCGTGGTGCGGCGGCGGGGGGAGTGATGGAGCGTGGGGTTGCGTGTGTGTGCGGCGGCGGGGGGAGTGATGGAGTGTGGGGTTGCGTGTGTGTGTGCGGCGGCGGGGGGAGTGATGGAGCGTGGGGTTGCGTGTGTGTGTGCGGCGGCGGGGGGGAGTGATGGAGCGTGGGGTTGCATGTGTGTGTGCGGCGGCGGGGGGGAGTGATGGAGCGTGGGGTTGCTGTGTGTGTGCGGCGGCGGGGGAGTGGGGTTGCGTGTGTGTCTGGCGGCGGGGGAGTGATGGAGCGTGGGGTTGCGTGTGTGTGTGCGGCGGGGGGGAGGGGAGTGATGGAGCGTGGGGTTTTGTGTGTGTGTCTTGTGGGTTGTGTATGGGCATGGGAATTTTGGTTAAGTTTCGTTGGGGTTTTTTTGAGTTTTGTTGTTTTGCCGTTTTGTGAGTGTGTTGTTGTGTTGTTTTTCATTTTGAGTAGATATGTTTGTACCTTGTGGGTTGTGTTATGGGCATGGGAATTTTGGTTAAGTTTCGTTGGGGTTTTTTAGAGTTTTGTTGTTTTGCCATTTTGTGAGTGTGTTGTTGTGTTGTTTTTCATTTTGAGTAGATATGTTTGTACCTTGTGGATTGTGTTATGGGCATGGGAATTTTGGTTAAGTTTCGTTGGGGTTTTTTGAGTTTTGTTGTTTTGCCGTTTTGTGAGTGTGTTGTTGTGTTGTTTTTCATTTTGAGTAGATATGTTTGTACCTTGTGGGTTGTGTTATGGGCATGGGAATTTTGGTTAAGTTTCGTTGGGGTTTTTTTGAGTTTTGTTGTTTTGCCGTTTTGTGAGTGTGTTGTTGTGTTGTTTTTCATTTTGAGTAGATATGTTTGTACCTTGTGGGTTGTGTTATGGGCATGGGAATTTTGGTTAAGTTTCGTTGGGGTTTTTTTGAGTTTTGTTGTTTTGCCGTTTTGTGAGTGTGTTGTTGTGTTGTTTTTCATTTTGAGTAGATATGTTTGTACCTTGTGGGTTGTGTTATGGGCATGGGAATTTTGGTTAAGTTTCGTTGGGGTTTTTTGAGTTTTGTTGTTTTGCCGTTTTGTGAGTGTGTTGTTGTGTTGTTTTTCATTTTGAGTAGATATGTTTGTACCTTGTGGGTTGTGTTATGGGCATAGCAATTTTGGTGCAGTTTCGTTGGGGGGTTTTAGAGTTTTGCTGTCCGGTTGAACCAACCTAACAGATTTATATATATAGATAAATGTAATTTTCATTTGTGGGATTAACATAACTCAAAAACAACTGGGCAAATTGACACCAAATTTGGCCACGAGACACCTACTAACCCAAGGAGTGACCATCACTTGTCATTTGGGAGTTGTAGTAGCTGGGATTTATAGTTCACCTACAATCAAAGAGCATTCTGAACTCCACCAATGATGGAATTGAACTAAACGTGGCACACTGGACTCCCTTGACCAAAAGAAAACACTAGAAGGGTTTGGTGGGCATTGACCTTGACTTTGGGAGTTGTAGTTCAGCTATATCCAGAGAGCACTGTGGATTCAAACAATGTTGGATCTAGACCAAACTTGGCAGGAATACTCAATATACCCAAATATGAACACAGATAGAGTTTAGGAGAAATAAACCTTGACATTTGGGCGTTGTAGTTACAGGAATTTACAGTTCACCTACAAACAGAGAGCATTCTGAACCCCATGAACTGTTTACCCACAAGCATAGAAAAAATACATATATTAGAAACAAAACTTTCTCATTACTTTATTTTCTAGATCACCAGACTGGGCCACAGCAACACATGGCAGCGTACGGCTAGTATTTAATAGTTATTTACATGGAAAAAGCACAATGGAGGACCTCAGGAACACCAGAGGTACTCCAAGTGGCCAGCTTCTGGTCAAAGGAAATCTAGTATAATGCCAAGTTTTTAACTCTGTTTGTGTTTTTGTTGTGGTTCAGCCAGATGAAGATGAGGAGTTTAGTGATTCTGGGCCTCATGGTTCTGTAGGTGAGCAAGCAGAGGGAGTTTTAGAGCAAGATGGTTCTGCAGCTGAAGGCAGAACTAACAAAGTGTTGTGGTTCAGCCAGATGAAAATGAGGAGTTTGGGGGTTCGGGGCCTAATGGTTCTGTAGGTGAGAAAACAGAGGGGGTTTTAGAGCAAGATGTTTCTGTAGATGAGGGAATGGAGGGGTTTTTGGAGCAAGATGCTGTTGCTGAGACAAAGTGTGAGGATGAAACGGTTTTGGAAGCCAACAGGCAGGGAAGGGAGGATAACATTAGCTCATCCGAGGAAGCAGCTGGCTTAGACAGAGATACCAGGCTGCTTCTGAATGGGCAGAGATTCTGGTGCAGGAAAGCCCATGAGAAAGAGAGGCAGAAACAGACCTCTCAAAGTCAAAGGAATGTGTTCATGTTTTGCAGTCCTTAAATTAGGGAGAGAACTGTTAGGATTTTAGATCAAGCAACGTCGCTACTGGAGTGAGGAACTCCTGCCTCGTTCCTGGTTCATGCCTTTGTTCAAAACACAAGATTTATGATCAAGTGTTGCTCCTTGTTTTATGGATTTACCTTTGGATTCATGCCCATGTTGTGCTCCTTGTTTCCTGGATCAATGTTCATGTTTTAACCATTGTTTTCTGGATTTACCTATTGTCTTTGGGACTTGCTTCCTTTATTAACTCTTGGATCTTTATCCTATTTGCTTAAGGTGTCGATTGATATGTGTTTTATCTGGTTTCTTGGTGAGTGCTGTGAGCAAGGTGAAGTCCTGCTGAAGTGTAAAAAAATACATTATAACTGTACCTGCAATTTGCTTCTGACATGATAAATAAATAAAAATACATGAAAATAAAAACGGGTGTCACTATCTTAGCCACTCGCGTGGACAATTCTGAATTTCAGAGTATTCCAGATAAGGGATGCTCAACCTGTAATAACCATATACTTCTGGAAGGAAATTTGATTTTTTTAAAAAGGTCAAAAACACTACTTTGAGATGTCATTTTAGATATGAGTGGGTGGATGGATGAACTGTATGTAGGTTAGTTTTGGCAGGGCAATAGCACAGGAATGTTATACACAATGCAGACTGAAATGATTATGCAAAATAAGGGAACCCAAATTTGCATTTTGGGGGGTGGGAGATATTTCTCATCCAGTATAGATAAAATAATATTCGAAATATTTTTCAATTGATTCTTTTGACGGAATGATTTCTGGACGGTTCCCAATTCAAAACCCACCCAGTGACACGGAGTAATAGCTTAGGTAGGACTTCACTCTTAATCAATGATGGAAGAGTAAGCCTAGTGAAGTGTTTCCCTACCTGGGGGTCAGGACCTCTGGGGGGGGGTCGCGAGGGGTGTCAGAGGGATCACCAAAGACCACCAGAAAACATAGTGTTTTCTGTAGGTCATGGGGGTTTTGTGTGGGAAGTTTGGCCCAATTCTATCATTGGTGAGGTTCAGAATACTCTTTGATTGCAAGTGAACTATAAATCCCAGCAGCTGCAACTACCAAATGTCATGGTCTATTTTCCCCCAAACTCCACCAGTGTTCACATTTGGGCATATTGAGTATTTGTGCCAAGTTTGGTCCAGATCCATCATTGAGTCCACAGTGCTCTCTGGATGTAGGTGAACTACAACTCAAAGTCAACGTCTACCAAACCCTTCCAGTATTTTCCGTTGGTCATGGAAGTTCTGTGTGCCAAGTTTGGTTCAATTCCATCGTTGGTGAGGTTCAGAATACTCTTTGATTATAGGTGAACTATAAATCCCAACAGCTACAACTACCAAATGTCAAGGTCTATTTTCCCCCAAGCTCCACCAGTGTTCACATTTGGGCATATTGAGTATTCGTGCCAAGTTTGGTGCAGATCCATCAAGTTTGGTGCAGATCCATCAAGGTCAATGTCTACCAAACCCTTCCAGAATTTTCTGTTGGTCATGGGAGTTTGGTTCAATTCTGTCATTAGTGGAGTTCAGAATGCTCTTTGATTGTAGGTTAACTATAAATCCCAACAAGTTCAACAAAATCAATTCCCACCCTCAAACCCCACCAGTATTCATATTTGGACGTATCACGTATTTGTGCCAAAATTGGTTCAGTGAATGAAAATACATCCTGCATATCAGATATTTACATTACAATTCATAATAGTAGCAAAATTGCAGTTGTGAAGTAGCAATAAAAATAATGTTATGGTTGGGGGTCACCACAACATACAGGTATTAAGAGGTCACAGTATTAGGAAGATTGACTCAATCCACTGGCCTTGTGGGAGATCGTCATAAGATGGGTCTATGTCAGGCATGGGCAAACTTGGGCCCACCAGGTGTGTTGGACTTCAACTCCCACAATTCCTAGCAGCCAGTAGCTGTTAGGAATTGTAGGAGATGAAATCCAAAACATTTGGAGGGACGAAGTTTGCCCATGCCTGGTCTATATTAAACTCCAGAATAGGAACAAGGAAACACAGTGAGAGAGACCAAGAGAAAGAGAGAAGAAGCAAAAAAGGACTCCTACAAAGTAAAAGCCAGTCAACAAACCCGCTGCAGCTCTTTCAGGACCTGTTCGTCGACCCCTTCTTCCATGAAGACATCCCGGACTCCTTCGATCACATCATCCATAACCGATTTGTAGAATTTAGGCTATAGAGAAGCAACATATCAATTGAAGAGAAATGGTTAAGACCAAGCTTTGGCAAACTTGGGCCCTCCAGGTGTTTTGGACTTCAACTCCCACAATTCCTAACAGCCGGTAGGCTGTTAGGAATTGTGGGAGTTGAAGTCCAAAACACCTGGAGGGCTCAAGTTTGCTCAGGCCTGGTTAAGATCATTGTGCATTTGCAACATCTGGTTCAGGAAAATACATTTCACCATGGGGCCACATTGACACGATTTCAGACAAGTTACCCACGAAACATCTATATATATATAAATGCTGTGTTCGTTTTGAGTGACATCACAACTCAAAATCTGCTGGACGGATTGCCACCAAATTTGGCTACAAATCACCTACTAACCCAAGGAGTGACAAACACTCCAAAAATTGATTTTGTCATTTGGGAGTTGTAGTTGCTGGGATTCATAGTTCACCTACAATCAAAGAACATTCTGAACCCCACCAATGGTGGAATTGGTGGCACACAGGACTCCCATGGACAAAAGAAAACACTAGAAGGGTTTGGTGGGAATTGACTTTGAGTTTGGGAGTTATAGTTCACCTACATCCAGAGTGCACTGTGGACTCAGACAATGAAGGATCTAGACCAAACTTGGCACAAATACCCGATATGCCCAAATATGAACACAGATGGAGTTTAGGGGAAATAGATCTTGACATTTGGGAGTTGTAGTTACTGGGATTTATAGTTCACCTACAATCAAAGAACATCCTGAACTCCACCAATGATGGAATTGAGCCAAACTTGGCACACTGGACTCCCATGACCAAAAGAAAACACTAGAAGGGTTTAGTGGGCATTGACTTTGACTTTGGGAGTTATAGTTCACCTACATCCAGAGTGCACTGTGGACTCAGACAATGAAGGATCTAGACCAAACTTGGCACAAATACCCCATATGCCCAAATATGAACACAGATGGAGTTTAGGGGAAATAGACCTTGACATTTGGGAGTTGTAGTTACTGGGAATTATAGTTCACCTACAATCAAAGTGCATTCTGAACACCACCAACAAGAGAATTGGACCAAACTTACCAAAGAGAATCCCATGATGAACAGGACAAGAAAGCATAATCAAAACCCTCCTGACAAAGATTCATCCAGCCATAGATACAGATAGATAGATTTGATTCACACACACACACACATATGACAGGTATCGTATCATAGGTTTGAAAGTGACCCCTAAAGGACTATTATATGTTCCCTGTTCCAGAGTAGGAAAACCAGACAATCTCCACATCAACACTGACAAAGAAACAGAAAGAAATACTGTTTACCCACAAGCATAAAGAAAAAGCAGATATTATTAACCAACACTCTCTCATTACTTTATTTTCCAGATCACCAGACTGGGCCACAGCAACACATGTCAGGGGACAACTACTTCCATATAAATAATGGAAACATTCCAACAAATCCCCAGGTCTGAGTGTTAAGCAAAGCCTATTTATATATTTGATAACACCAACTAATTAAAAGGATGCACTAAATTAAACAACACAAATACACCAAGCTAACAGGCTGAAACAGGGGACCTCTGGAACAAATAAGCCTTACTTATTTTCTTTTCAGGTTGTTTTCAAATGGAATATGGTCAGTTTGCAACTCCCATCATCAGCAACTGGGAGGAATGCTGAGAAAAGTTGGATAACGGAGGATTAATCAGGACTGTCCCTGCAAAATTTGGAGAGCATGCATTCAAGAAAGCTGCATTTGGGCCACCCCAAATTCTTGCCATGCTAGGAAATGTGACTTTTTGACTACAACTCCCAGAACTCCAAGTCAGCGGAAAGATCCTGGGCAGTATAGTCCACACACACATACACACAGAACCCAACATCTAAGCCCTATTTCCAATAGCTATGCTTATACAAGCTATTATCTATCTAAGTGTTTCTCAACATGGGGGTCGGAGCCCCTGGGGGGGTCATGAGGAGGTCATCAAAGACCATCAGAAAACACAGTATTTTCTGTTGATTCTGGCTGTTCTGTGTGGGAAGTTTGTCCCAATTCTATCATTGGTGGGTTTCAGAATGCTCTTTGGTTGTAGGTGGACTATAAATCCCAACAACTACAACTCCCAAGTGTCAAGGTCTATTTTCCTCAAACATCAGTAGTGTTCACATTTGGGCATATTGAGTATTCATGCCAAGTTTGGTCCAGATCCATCATTGTTTGAATCCATAATGCTCTCTAGATACAGGTGAACTACAACTCCAAATTTCAAGGTCAATGCCCACCAAACCCTTCCAATATTTTCTGTTGGTCATGGGAGTTCTGTGTGCGAAGTTGGGTTCAATTCCATCGCTGGTGGAGTTCAGAATGCTCTTTGATTGTAGGTGAACTATAAATCCCAACAACTACAACTCTCAAATGGCAAAATCAATCCTCCCAACCCCACCACTATTCAAATTTGGGCATATCAGGTATTTATGCCAAATTTGGTCCAGTGAATGACAATACATCCTGCATATCAGATATTTTGTCGAAGGCTTTCATGGTCGGTATCACTGGGTTGTTGTAGGTTTTTTCGGGCTATATGGCCATGGTCTAGAGGCATTCTCTCCTGACATTTCGCCTGCATCTATGGCAAGCATCCTCAGAGGTAGGATGATTAGCATTTGATGGCCTGGCAGTGCCTGGGGCAATCTTTTGTTGAGAGATGATTAGATGGTCATTACAAGCTTTCTTACGTGAACCAAAGATTTATGTATTTACTAGGCATGTGCAATCCATGCTTCTAAATGGTTCTAAAGTACTTACAAAACTAAAGTTCTGGTGGTGAAAAGTAGGGGGCGCTGGTGCTTTGCTTCTACAGTGTTGCTAAAGTTCTGGTGGTGAAAATTTCAGAACTCTAACAAAACTTTCAAAATTTCATTATTAATTCATTACTGTAAAAAAAATCATCAATAATGAAATAATAATGAAATTTTGAAAGTTTTGATAGAGTTCTGAAATTTTCACCACCAGAACTTTAGCAACACTGTAGAAGCAAGTTTTGTAAGTACTTTAGAACCATTTAGAACAGCGTTTCTCAATCTGGGGGTCGGGACCCCTGAGGGGGTCGTGACGGGGTGTCAGAGGGGTCGCCAAAGACATTGGAAAACACAGTATTTTCTGTTGGTCATGGGGGTTCTGTGTGGGAAATTTGGACCAATTCTATCTTTGGTGGGATTCAGAATGTTCTTTGACTGTAGGTGAACTATAAATCCCAGCAACTACAACTCTCAAATGTCACGATCTATTTTCCCAAAATTCCACCAGTGTTCACATTTCGGCATATTGAGTATTTGTGCCAAGTTTGGTCCAGATCCATCATTGTCTAAATCCACAGTGCTCTCTGGATGTAGGTGAACTACAAATCCAAAACTCAAGGTCAACCACCAAACCCTTCCAGTATTTTCGTTGGTCGTGGGAGTTCTGTGTGTGAAGTTGGGTTCAGTTCCATCGCTGGTGGAGTTCAGAATGCCCTTTGATTGTAGGTGAACTATAAATCCCAACAACGACAACTCCCAAATGACAAAATCAATCCCCCCCAATCCCACCAGTACTCATATTTGGTTGTATCAGATATTTGTGCCAAATTTGGTCCAGTATATGACAATACACCCTGTATATCAGATATTTATATTATGATTCATAACAGGAGCAAAATTACAATATGAAGTAGCAAAGAAAATAATTTTATGGTTGGGGGTCACCACAACACGAGGAACTGTATTAAGGGGTCGCAGCATTAGGAAAGTTGAGAAATACTGCTGTAAGTACTGTTTCTTAGTTTGTTTACGTGTTTGGATGGGTAAAAAAATGTGCCAAAGCAACTTCACAGATTAAATTAGTAAAGGAATAAAATTGGCCACAAAACCTCGTCATTCAGAGAAAGCGAGAGCTAGTTAGTTCCTCCTCGCCACACCATGCCTTAATCAAAGGTTGTTTCGTTAATTAAAGACAATCAGCGGAGACCTCTCCCATCTGTATCAATGCAACGCAAATTAAAAGCCTATCAAATTCCACCACCGCTCCATCTGCCAAGGCAGTCCAACAAATTGTAAGTGTGTGATTGCGTTTAGGGTAAATCCCATAAGAGAAAATACTAGAGGAAATGATTTTTAATTATTTACCTCTAGGTTACTCCATAAACGTTAAATACCCTAAAATCACCAGATCCCTCCTGGGATGCATCTACACTGCAGAATTATTGCAGATTGACACCACTTTAACTGCAATGGTTTGTCGCCATGAGAATCTGGGAACTGTAGTTTGCTACATACCCTAAAATCACCAGATCCCTCCTGGGATGCATCTGCACTGCAGAATTATTGCAGATTGACAACACTTTAACTGCAATGGTTTGTCCCTATGAGAATCTGGGAGCTGTAGTTTGCACTCTTTGGCAGAGAGGGCAAAAGACTGGGTTGTAGGTTTTTTCGGGCTATATGGCCATGTTCTAGAGGCATTCTCTCCTGATGTTTCGCCTGCATCTATGGCAAGCATCCTCAGAGGTAGTGAGGTGAGACCTCACTACCTCTGAGGATGCTTGCCATAGGTGCAGGCGAAACGTCAGGAGAGAATGCCTCTAGAAAATGGCCATATAGCCCAAAAAAACCTACAACAACCCAATGATTACGGCCATGAAAGCCTTCGACAATACAAGGCAAAAAACCTTGAATAACTACAGTTCCCATGATGTATGAGCATTGAGCCAGTTGAAGTGGTGTCAAACAGGATTAAATTTGACAAACTGTTTACATTTAACGTTTAATATTGTTTATATTTAATTCTGTTTTAATGTTCGTATATTTTAAACTGTATACTAATGCATAGTATAAGGGGGATATTCTATGCCAGGCATGGGCTAACTTAAGCCCTCCAGGTGTTTTGGACTCCAACTCCTACCATTCCTAACAGCCAGTAGGCTGTTAGGAATTTTGGGAGTTGAAGTCCAAAACACCTGGAGGGGGAAAAGGAAGGGGCCTGAGGCTGTGAGGAATTCTGGGAGTTGAAGTCCAAAACACCTGGAGGGGAAAAGGAAGGGGCTTGAGGCTGAGGAATTCTGGGAGTTGAAGTCCAAAACACCTGGAGGGCCAAAGTTTGGCGGTAGGCTGTTAAGAATGGTGGGAGTTGGAGTCCAAAACACCTGGAGGGCCAAAGTTTGGCGGTAGGCTGTTAGGAATGGTGGGAGTTGGAGTCCAAAACACCTGGAGAGCCAAAGTTTGGCGGTAGGCTGTTAGGAATGGTGGGAGTTGGAGTCCAAAACACCTAGAGAGCCAAAGTTTGCCAGTAGGCTGTTAGGAATGGTGGGAGTTGGAGTCCAAAACACCTGGAAGGCCAAAGTTTGGCGGTAGGCTGTTAGGAATGGTGGGAGTTGAAGTCCAAAACTCCTAGAGGGCCAAAGTTTGGAGGTAGGCTGTCAGGAATTGTGGGAGTTGGAGTCCAAAACACCTGGAAGGCCAAAGTTTGGCGGTAGGCTGTTAGGAATGGTGGGAGTTGGAGTCCAGACACCTAGAGGGCTGAAGTTTGCTAGTAGGTTGTTAGGAATTGTGGGAATTGGAGTCCAAAACACCTGGAGGGGATATTCTATACCAAGCCTGGGCAAACTTTGGCCCTCCAGGTGTTTTGGACTCCAACTCCCATCATTCCTAACAGCCTACCGGCTGTTAGGAATGATGGGAGTTGGAATCCAAAACACCTGGAGGGCCAAAGTTTGCCTATGCTTGGTATATACTATATCCTTCTCTGCCAAAGAGTGCTGGGGCCTCTCCAAACCCTACCCTTCCATAGCCTTGAGCCATGGCAGTTCAAGTGGTATCAAACTGCACTAACTCTACAGTGTAGATGCACCCTTAAATGAGTTTACTCCTCCAGGGAGGGCTGCTGGGCCCCCTAGGTGACCTCAAATAGGCTGAGACCCCCCTGCCCTTCCTCCCCTTGGCTTGGCCCCCTTGCTTTCCCAGCCTTACCATGGGGTTGACATGAGCCATGGCTTCTTCTCTGCCCCGCTTGTCCGCTTCTGGCTCCATCGAGGGCTTGCGCCTCCGCGGCTGCCTAACGCCCGCCTGTTCTCGCGCGCCCCCTGCAGGCCGGCGCCGCAACTGCTTCCAACCCCTTCATTCCAATCCCCAAAGGAAGAGGATAATGCAGGCAGACTACTAGGCAGAGTAGGTAGAAAATACTCCCAGTTGCTGCTCAGTTGCAGCTGTTGGAAAAGCAGAGTGTGCATCCACATTTAATGCAGGTTGAGCACCACTTTATAATAATAATAATTATAATCATTACTAATTATTATCATTATTATTATTGTTATGATGTGTTTTTAACTGCATGTTTTTAATAGTTTCATGCTGAATTCCATTTTTTACAAAGTGTAGGCTTGAAATTGCACATTGTGTTGTTTGTATCATTGTTAGGCACTGCTGGAAAGGCACAGGTGCATCCACACTGTAGGCTTTAATACAGGTTGGGCACCACTTTATAATCATTACTAATTATTATCATTATTATTGTTATGATGTGTTTTTAACTGCTTGTTTTTAATAGTTTCATGTTGAATCCCATTTTTTTTACAAAGTGTAGGCTTGAAATTGCACATTGTGTTGTTTGTATCATTGTTAGGCACTGCTGGAAAGGCACAGGTGCATCCACACTGTAGGCTTTAATGCAGGTTGAGCACCACTTTATTATAATAATAATTATTATCATTATTATTGTTATGATGTGTTTTTAACTGCTTGTTTTTAATAGTTTCATGCTGAATTCCATTTTTTTACAAAGTGTAGGCTTGAAAATTGCACGTTGTGTTGTTTGTATCATTGTTAGCACTGCAATGCAACCTGAGCCCTGCTACATGCACAATGGAGGACCTTCTCACAGCAACACCAGAGGCGCTCCCAAGTGGCCAGCTACTGGTCAAAGGACATTTAATCAACTACCAAGCTTGCAAATTTTGTGTTTTGTATGTTTGTTTGTTTGTTTGTTAAAAAATGCAATACAACTGCTTGGTTTGCTCCTGACACGATAAATAAATCATTGTTCGCCACTGCTGGAAAGGCACAGGGTGTATCTACACTGTAGACTTTAATGCAGGTTGTGCACCACTTTATTGTTGTTGTTGTTGTTGTGTGTTTTTAACTGCTTTCTTTTAATAGTTTCATGCTGAATTCCATTTTTTTTACAAAGTGTAGGCTTGAAATTGCACATTGTGTTGTTTGTATCATTGTTAGCCACTGCTGGAAAGGCACAGGGTGCATCCACACTGTAGGCTTTAATACAGGTTGGGCACCACTTTATTATTATTATTATTATTATTATTATTATTATTATTACTGTTTTTAATTGCTTGTTTTTAATAGTTTCATGTTGAATTCCATTTTTTACAAAGTGTACGCTTGAAAATTGCACATTGTGTTTGTATCATTGTTATCAACTGCTGGAAAGGCACAGAGTGCATCCACACTGCAGGCTTTAATGCAGGTTTGGCACCACTTTATAATAAATATTATTGTTATGATATAGTTTTAACTGCTTGTATTTAATAGTTTCATGTTGAAATCCATTTTACAAAGCTTTATATCCTGCTTTCTGTATGTGTGTGTGTGTGTGTGTGTGTGTGTAATATGACTAGAGATTAATATCCTGCTTTATATGACATTGTACATTTTGCTTGTAGCATTGTTAGCCGCTTTGAGTCCCCTTTAAGAAAGGAGAGCGGGATATAAATCAATATTAACTTTAGTAAAGGCTGTTGTTGTTCATTTGTTCAGTCGTCTCCGACTCTTCGTGACCTCATGGACCAGCCCACGCCAGAGCTCCCTGTCGGCCGTCACCACCCCCAGCTCCTTCAAGGTCAGTCCAGTCACTTCAAGGATGCCATCCATCCATCTTGCCCTTGGTCGACCCCTCTTCCTTTTGCCTTCTACTTTCCCCAGCATAATTGTCTTCTCTAGGCTTTGCTGTCTCCTCATGATGTGGCCATAGTACTTCAACTTTCTCTAGTATCCTTCCCTCCAATGAAAAGGTATATTAATTAGTAAAGGTATATTAATGTTAATATAGATTTATATCCTGCTTTGTATTTATATAATATATAATATAACTATAATGTTAATATAGATACATATCTCGCTTTATATTTATATGTATATATTTATTTATATCTATATTTATACCAATTTATAATTAATATCAATATTAAAATTATACACACACACACACACACATATTCTATTTTAAGTTGCATATTGACCATTGTATCATTTTAATTTAATTATATTTATATAATAATGATGATATAATTGTAGGTTTTTAATTGTACTTTGTTTTTAGGATTGTTAGCTGAGTCCCCTTTTACATTGGAAAATGAGATATAAATTAATATTAACATATTTATATAATATAAATATATTAGTGTCGATGTATATCCACCTTTATAATTATATAATATAAATATTTAGATGTATATCCTATAAATATTTATATGTATATAATGTAAATATAATTATTTTTGTTTATATAATATAAATATTTATGTTTATATTATATAAAATAATTATATATATTTATAGGTTTTAATAATTGTTTTAAGTACTACATGGCTTTTAAATTTGTTTTAATGTATATGTTTATTTTATTGTTACTGATATGGCATCAAATTGTTGCATTTTGTAAGGCTGCTCTGAGTCCCCTTTGGGATGAGAAGGGCAGTATATAAATACTGTAATTAAAAATAAATAATTAAGTTGCATGTTCAATGTATTGTCGAAGGCAATGTATTGTCAAAGTTGCATGTTGTCCATTGTATTGTTTTTATTTAATTATATTTATATAATAATAATATAATTGTAGGTTTTAAATGGTACATTGTATTGTTTTTATTTAATTATATATATATATATATATATATATATATATATATAATATAGGTTTGAAATTGTACATTGTTTTTAGCATTGCAAGCCAATTTGAGTCTCTTAAGAGAGGAAAGTGAGATAGAAAGAACTATTAATATTATATATAGCAATAGAAAAAATAATACTTATAATTATATATTATTTATAAATAACTATCAGTGTTATTAGATTTATATAAAAATAGAAATATAAATTATTAGTAGTAGTATTTAAATCCCAATTCTCTTTAGAAAAACTCAAAGCGGCTAACAATACTAAAAGTTAGGAATTGTGGGAGTTGAAGTCCAAAACACCTCAAGGGCCAAAGTTTGCCCATGCCTTTCCTAATAAATACATAGTTATTGCAGCCTGGCTGTTTGGATTTGGGGTGAATGCTTTCCATCTGCTACCCCAAACATATTGTTTTTGTGGTTAATCACTATGCTTTAATTATGTTCAATTTGTAATAATGAAAATACATCCTGCATATTAGATATTTACATTAGAATTCATAAGAGTAGCAAAAATATTTATGAAGTAGCAACGAAAATATGGTTGGGGGGTCACCACAACATGAGGAACTTCATTTAGGGGTCACAGCATTAGAAAGGCCGAGAACCACTGTCTTATTCCAAGTTTTTTCAAAAAGTGGCAATTCCTGGGTTATTATTTGAAAGGGGGATTGGGTTGTTGTAGGATTTTTCGGGCTATATGGCCATGTTCTAGAGGCATTCTCTCCTCAGGACATGTTGCGCAAGTGATCTATGGACAAAGCACCAAGAGTAGTGATGGGCTGCCTGGAAAAGAGGAAAGGATAAATGGGGTGTATGTAGTATGGGGAGTTTTTGTCATGACCAGGGGGTGGGAAAGCAAGAGGAGCTCTTGTCTGACGGAGCTATAGGTGGGGAAGGTGTCAACTGGAGGACATCTTGATTAGCATTTGATGGCCTGGAAGTGCCTGGAACAATCTTTTGTTGAGAGGTGATTAGATGTCCCTGATTGTTTTCCCTCTGCTGTTTTGCTGTTTTAATTTTAGAGTTTTTTAATACTGGTAGCCAGATTTTGTTCATTTTCATGGTTTCCTCCTCTGTTGAAATTGTCCACATGCTTGTGGATTTCAATGGCTTCTCTGTGTAGTCTGACATGGTGGTTGTTGGAGTGGTCCAGCATTTCTGTGTTCTCAAATAATATGCTGTGTCCAGGTTGGCTCATCAGGTGCTCTGCTATGGCTGACTTCTCTGGTTGAAGTAGACTTCTCTGGTTGAAGAAAGGGGGATTGTTGTTTTTTGGAAGTTAGGGTAGGTAATATTATATGTTACACAATGTCTTAGGGGGGAAAAAACCTCAGTCTTTTGTTTTTTATTAATGCTCCCATGAGAAAATGTGGGTGAACTACAATTCCCAAATTCAGCCCCCCCCCCCACCGAAATTCTCATGATGGTTTCCGAAAAGGCCTTACTGGTGCATTATTTAAACTGTTATGTTTATTCATATCATGATCTGATCACCATACTCAATATATCCCATATGCATGGGGGTATTGGGGTAATGATACAAAAGGTTTGCTAGGCTAGACCCTCTTTCACTCAGACTCAGGCCCCGCCACCCCCCCCCCCCCACCAGAAACCATAACTGATGTATCAAACTAAGGCTTCCCGCCAGAATAAAACTGTAGATGTGACGGCGCGAGTGGCGCACCTATGTATAGAACTGTTAGTTGTAAGATTTAAACTGTTGTATCATGCTTAATCCTGCCCCTTTTTACCCTGCTTATGTATAGTTGTATGGATTGGTTGCTTGTAGCTGTCAATCAGTACTGTTTGGCTCCACCTCTTCCTGCAAGAGGGGAGAGCTTCCTTTTTCTTCTTCATTCTGCCATCAGAGTTCATACCACATGGACGTGAGTAAAAGACTTGATTCTAAAGGACCCTGATTTAAGTTACCTCTTAGCACCAGTTCTGAGGTTTTTTACCCTTGGGACTCATGCTTTATGTCCAGATCGTCCTGGATAACATTGAGGAGTTCCCAAGCACCTTCAAGCTGGTTCTTTTGGCACCAGAGGAAGATCCTGAGTCTTCAAAACATAGGCCATCTGA